CATTCCTGCTGTGACCTTTTCTGACCTTGTCACTTGTCTTGTCTTTGCTGTATAGTCCATTCCAACACAAGTTGTCTCACAAGTTGTCTCAGTAAATCAAATCGAAACAGTATGTCTCAGTTCATGGCTTCTCACATGCACAGTGCCCACGCTGTTTGCCAAGAAATCAGAACCACCAAGCCAGGTCTAAGCTCAAAGAGTTAGATGGTCCTTTTTCCAGAAACATCATTGCGGATGTAGGTCTCTTCGCTGCTGAAAATGTCGTGTCATGCTGCACGACATCCAAACAGACAAAGTTGATGTGAATGGTTTCTGGCTTAATCCAGTTTTTTCCATCAGAAACTTAAGCAGATCTAAGTCAGTGTGACAATGTGGAAACAAACACGATCTTGTTGCAGCATTGACACGATTCATCTTTCTCTCAGCAATCTTAGGAACACTCAGGCTCAGCTCTCCTGGTGGTTTCACTAATACGCATGTCTAAGGACTGTTTGGCAGACCTGTTGAATCAATAGACCGCACTACTGTGATTATGTTGTTGTCTGTTCGACTGTTCGACACAATGATATCCATATTGAGTTGACTGCACAATGCTCCAACATCCTCCTCGTTCATTGTCTTTGTTTTACTGAAAGTATGAACACCCTCTAGGTCCGTAGGATCCGATTTTACTTCAAAATCACGAAAAAGTAACCCCTCGATGTGGGAGGGGAAGAAGGGGTTCCTTTTTGAATGTTTTTTGTGGTTGGCCATTCCAAGACCTTTAGAAAAAATCATAATGGAAAACTGTGGCTGCCATAGTCCTCAAACTTTCACGGAATGACTCGCAAACTTGTCGCTTGACTCGCTGAATCCTTTTTTGATGCCTGACACGTTGAACCATTCAGTCACGTACTGTAATTCCAAAGGTGAAACTCACATCCTAGCACATAAACATCACATCGAAATCGAACAAATATGCATGGGATGATCCAAATCCGAAAGAAAATAGTTAGTGAAATACGATATCGATAGTTAGCGATATGATTTGTCATTGTGTCTGATAGCTTGGAACAGCTATGTTATCAGCACAAACTCCATGATTCAAACAAAAACAACGATTGCTATAATATGTAAGTTACCCGTTCAACGTGTCTATGCCTGTACATCACACCTTTCAGATGTGACCGAAATCAGTCTGTCCAGCTATCTAGATTGACTCCTTTGGTTTCATATCTTTCTTCACTGATTTCATCTTTCTCTGTTTTTTCTCTTTCTTGTCTTTCTTGGCTTTTGCCTTTGTGTCCGTAGCATCACCTGCTTCAGCCTCACCCATCCCAGCCCTCAACCCTGAAGCGCCAGAACCATTGCCGTCACCAGTACCACCTGCATGATTGGTATGTCCTGGCTCCATGTTGGGTGACATACCTGCAGATGCTGGGTGACAATGGGGAAATCCACCATGATGACCAGGATTGCTGTCAGAAGAACCTTCATCATCGTCCGAACCGTCCTTGTTGTCCCAATAGTAGTGATGATGATGATTCTGCGGCTGTGGAACGAGTACGTTGACATTGACTGTGTGCACTTTGAGAATCTTCATGTTGTTGACAATCTGGTGATGAAGGGCACCAGCAACATCAGCAGGATTAAACGATGCCATGGAGAGCAGTACTGGAACTATGTTCACAGACTTCGTATCTATCCCAGGTATGCTAAGTAGTCTTGAGCTTCTGCAACTGCAAAGATCTACAAGCTATTGCAAGAATCACCTCGTTTCTCTGCAACTCGCTCCACGCACAATGTGCTCTCTACCTTTCCTAAACAGCATGGAATGTACGTATGAATATGTCCAACATAAGTGTCTACATTATGTACTGGAATTGTGTAACGATAAATGTTGCATTGCAATGTTTGAACTTCTGCTTCGGATCTATACATGCACTGGTTTGTGCATATCTGCCAAAGCTCCAGAGCAACTTTCTCTGAGTGACCCCACAGAAGCCGTCATTGCCACTGCAGGAAAGCTGATGGCTGTATACAAGCCTGGCAAACCCAGGCATCGTACAATGTCAAAGTTTCCCTTGACACTATAAACCGTCTCTCGCAGTCTCATCTCACTGGTTCCACTTCTCTAATGAAACAATGAAACTGAAAAACAGTTCAACCTTCTCCTCTTCTACTCTTTGGTCTTTGGATTCATGTTTTTTCTGTTTCTTCATATCTGTTCACAGAGAAGCTCTGGGGTTATTGCGCGACCATTGAATAAAGCTTTCATGAACGTTCGAACATTGGAGCCTGACTTTAAACGAGTGCTTGAATGGTTGGAACCTTACACACGAGCTTGCCACATATGTATATACATATATGATGTCAAACTTTTTAACGTTTTCAGGGTTGGCTCACATGTCAGTTAGTCAGTGAAAATTCATGCTGCTGCTGATCAGATAAATTGCAAGACTTTGGTGACTTTTTATGATCCCAAGGGTTACAGTGTACCACACTCAATCGCAAGTCACCCAGCAAGATCTAAGTCTATGATCTAGGGAAAAAGGTATTTTATCAATTCAGCGGTTCAGCATTTGACATGATTCATGGTTTCATTTGTTGCAAACGCAAACAAAACAAAATCTGACCAATCATGGCCATGGTGGATGTGGCGGCCATGGGTCGTGCCTTCTCTTTGTTTGCAACCACCTGGCAGAAGTAGGTATGACGACATCAAAACAGAACAAACAGATTCAAACACATTTAACATTTACTTCCTCCGTGGATGCCTTTCCCGAAACAAGATCAAAACTTTCTTGCTTGTGCCAGCGTGCACTGACCAAAAAGGCAACAGTTTAGCCACCGGCTCAGTCGGCTGAGAGAAATCAAGTGGCCAACCGGCCAACCAAACCAGCAAACGACCAGCGAGCAACATCTGCATATTGCAAACTAGTAAATCCATGCATGACCACTGCACAGGCAGGCAAACCCAAAAACAACAAGAGAAATACGCAACAGATTCTACACACAGGCAAGGCGATCAGCACACATAAGAACAGCTGAGCGGGTGATCAAGTAGACACTGATTGGGCCAACAATGCTTCGCTCAGACTCAGGTTGCACCGGTTGCACCATACAACATTAATGAAAAGTTTAAAAACAAACGAAAACCAAAAAGAAAAAAAACAAGTAACAAGCCAGAAAGACAAACAGAAAACCCAACAGAGACCAGCACACAGACATTTTGATTCACCAAACAACGACTGACAAAACCTTGTAAGATGACACATGACCACATCAGACCAGACAGGACCAAAACTAGTGAGCATCATCATCACCAACAATTCCACACTGTGGAGTAAGGCGGAGTGAGAGGCAAAAACAAAAGCTGGAAGGAGGTGATCAAGGCTCTGGTCTCCATGATGTCGTGTCCAATGGGGCCAGCCTGCAGCAGCAGCAGCAGCAGCAAAACAACAGTGGCCTTACAAGTTTACAAACAAAAGACGTTGATATAGTATTCATCAGCAAACAACAACGAATGAACACGCAGAACAACCAGAACCAATGAACTTCAACCTGCACTGACACATGACGAAAAATCAGAAAGTCGTAACAGTTAGTAGTAACACCAATTTCATCAGGAGCCACGTACCATCATCAGCAAACAGTTGCGCACAGCGCAGCTGCAGATGAAACTATAGTAACTATAGTAGCTACAGCAAAATTTTCAGGTTTCAGTCAGACTGTGGATGTTTTGCAAATTGTTAGTTTGGATTGCTTCACAACTACCCTCCTAAGTCCATAAAGACAAGAGTCAATCAGATTTTTGAGCTTCACCCCTATATTCAGAATTCAACCACTTTCACATAACGTGATGCGAAGCTGTTAAAGAAACATAGTTGAACAAGAAAATGGTACCTGTTACAAGAGATGTTACATTGTAAGACTTTGACTGTTTTGATATGTTTGTTTCGACATGGTTCTAGCAATTGTAATCTTTGATAAAAACCATGAGAATTTTGAGGCATAAAAATCAAATAAAGCATGTCAGGGAGACTGCTTGCCGCCCTGCCAAATCAATCGTCTGCATCTCCTTCGCCAGGCCTAGTGCAAAGACAATGATGGGGAAACCTAGAAGCCAAGACCCCAACCTTCAGTCCTAACGTCAAGCAGCATTGTAAAATACTAAACCGTAACCTCAACAAACAATACATACATATACACATATATAATCAATCCAAAACCAAAACCAATGTGGAACAATGTACCAATGTACCAATATTTCTCTGTTTCAACACACAGTTTTGATCATCACCTTTCAGCTCCACAAAGCTGAGTAAAACACATATTTCTTGGGTCGACTTGGGTGGACTCAAATAAACCATGTGATGATTGATAGTTGAATGACTGATTGATTGATTGATTGATTGAGTGTTTGAGTGATTGCATGAATGATTGATTCATTGATGTCTTTTTACATGATGCTTTGGTCTTGTAATGGTTAGCCTCCAGTCACCACCTCACAACTGTCTGTCAGAACTGTCAAAACCTTTTCTGAACGGTGATGCTAACAACACTTGGACGACAAATGCATTCTTGTTGACTCTGACTCTTGACTCTTACTCTTCAAGCAGGCAGGTGCCAAAAAAAAAATGTAGACTTTAAAATCATCCCCTCGCACTATCAGCCTCGCCAAAGTAGAACACTGCAGCCACGACGAGCATCCTTCACATAGCCTGTCAAGTTCTGCTCATGGGCAATTGCACAGGCTGATAATGTGTAGGTGTGAGTTTGCAGTTTGAAAGTATCTTACTATACTGCCCATTGCAAATCTAACTTCAAAATCATGGAAGGCAAATAGTGATTAGTAATACCCAATGGCCAGGGACTTCGAGGACGAACATGATTTCAAGCCTTCTGTGTCACTTTCGTACGTATACAAAGGTTTGGCATCAAACCATTCTCGGCCTATTTCAATTTCGAAAGCAAACATACGCCAACTTGATAAGCAGTTTGAATCCGTTTCTACCTTGTCACAAGTAAGATATCCAAGAACCACTTGCGATTGCCCAGCCCGGCCTCCCCTGCTTCTTGAAGATAGGATCAAAAGCGTCGGTAGGCACAACCGAGGGCAAGGGAAACTCACACGTGTCAAAAGACGACACAAGTGTCATCATACAGCATGTGTGAGATGGTAGAAGGCATAGACTACATTTACGGGCATCATGTTCTGGTAGCTGTGGTGAAGCAACTTCAGAACAAATGAAGCACTCCCATGGATTGCCGGCATTGTCCAGATGTCGCTGCGAAGGATCTTCGGCAAGTGTCCACATTTCTTTCAATTTACAAAGGTGATCTGGCATTTTGTTTCTATCCTGATCCCTTTTCCATTTTGCTTTCACATTCTTTATGCCAGTATCCTGCCAAATCATTCGCATGTCCAACGCAGTAAAGTCAAGAGGATGCCTACGCAGTCCAACTGGAACAATTGACTTCAAGTGGTTTGAAGAATCCAGCTCTGCAACTCTCCCTGCTTCACCAGGTCGTGTCCATTGTACCCATGCAACTTGCCTCTTGTCTGATGTTGCATCATGAAAAGATATCAATGACACACCCCCATTGAAACCTGTGACATCGACCCCACTGTGTGTAGACTGTGTGACAAGAAGTTGTACACCCTGGTCATGAGCGCAAGTCCATTCATGTCCCGGATGCAAACGAACATTGGAATCCTCCAACTCTGCGCCAAAGCCAGACTCCACAGGTGGTCCTGAGTGTCTTTGTTTGTCAATAAATTGAGGAATGGAGGACTGATCTCTGGCTTGAGAATCAACTGCTGGTGGTTGAATCCAGATCACTAATGTTTGTGTTTCAATACCTTTACACATCTACGTATCCCACGGTACCATCAACAGTCCGCCTAAACTTAAGTTAGCTAGCATCCATTTCCATGATGCGCAATTGTCTAACATAGACACACAACAAGACACTCAATGCTCACAGTCGTCAGGCAATAGCCAAACCGATAAGCCAAACCCAGTTTGCAATGTCAAAGTAATTGACTTTTTATGGCCATAGTTCAATTTCTCTTGGATTGATTTTCCCAAGGTTGACACATACCAGTCCAACAAATTGCTTGTTTCTTTTGATTTGGCAAACGCCAGCAAATCAAACCTTTTGCCTTTTTTTTTACCTTTCTAGAATCACATCAGCTTATCATCCACGTCTGAACACTTAATGAAAAAAACGCAAGAAACCAGGAACTATCTTCCCAAAAAGGCACCAAAGTTTGGTAAGGTACCTGCCATGACTTACCATGACCCTGACCTGACCCCAATCTGGAACAGCCTGCAAAACCAAAAACATCTGAGAATCAATGCATGCCAGTCAGGCAAGTTAGTGAGTTGAGGAATGTGACAAGAAGTCACTTGAATTTAAGCCAACCGGGCCAAAAATATCTGCTCGTGATCCAAATGATCAGAATCAAGAAAGAACCAAAATATACCTACAATAATGAACATCAGACTAAGGTCCTTCAATGTCCTCTGTGGGCTGCTGGTCTTCTGCCGGTAAGCCAGATGCAGCTGCAAATGCAGTTTCAACTGCGGCATCAACAGCATCCATGTTGAGTTGGGCTTGGACACTTTCAATCGACATCTGACTGGAAGGATTTTCCAAATTGCATGCCTTGGAGTTCATAGCTTGAAGGGCTACAGCTTTGTCGTGGTTTGCAACTAGGTCCTCATGTGTCATCTCCCCCATCCATGACGATGCTTCACGTTCCAAAGCTTCATCATCATTGAAAACATTGGGGTGGAAGGATGAAGCCAAACCCTGTGCAACATAGCAATGAAAATCCCCATCCACCACATCATCATCACCAGTGACTTCATCATTGTTCTGATCATTTGCGTCACCGGATGTCCCAGAGTCATTTGCTTCAGCTTCCTCTGCCAGTAGGTTCAATCCCAATTCTTGTTCTTTGGTATGTTGTTCATCATCAACGCGGTGGTCAACCTCAGGCCCATCTGAGTGTGATGGGTCACCGTGATGAACAACCTTGGCTGATTTGGAATTGGAGTTCCCCTGACATCGTTTCAGAAATGAGGCTGTTGGCTTCTGCAAGCGCACCAAAGAAACCAACCGACAATCTGCCAATACAGTGACGACCGGTGTACAATCAGGATCATTGGTGACAGTCTGGTTCTGAACAACCTTACCGAAAGCTTGCATGACGGTCACTGTATGCCCTGCAGAGACATTGTCGTATTGTGCTTCGATAAGCTTGACAAAAGGAGAAAACCCTTGCAATTTGCGGATTGTAACTTGACGATCTCCCACTGTAGCTAGCGCTGTCGCATGACAAACAATGTGTTTCCTACGGACAACCTCAGCAGAAACGTAGAAATCAAATGATGTTTTCCTTCCATTCCTTCGTACTCCAATGACCAACACAACTGGGTCAACCCCAGTCGGATTCAAATTCTTGTGCACAACCATGTTGTAGGACGCAGCCCAGGCATATCTCACAGTGGAACAGTTTAGACGTGGTCTGAGCTTGACATATTCCTTGATCAAAACATCTGGTTGCAACAGCCCCTGAGCTGCCTCATTCGGTTTCCAACGAAATGGATTGGCTTGAACGCCTACAACATCATCCCAGCACTTCAAACATTGCTCACGCACTTTCTCTGCTACAGGTTTGAACAGAGACCATTTGCACCTGGACGCACCCTTTCCAAAGCCATGTTCTCCCAGCAAATATCGTAAAGACAACCGAGAACTCTTAAGATCCACAGATGCATTGGGTGACCTCTCGTCCAAAAGAGATATGTATTTGTTGAGCCCCTCATTTGCTCTCACATCACTTTTCCAGATCAAAGAAGATGCCCACAACATCCAATACAGTTGTTGGGACGGAAGGATGCCCGATTGGGCAGCAATCTGAAATTCATGTGGGAAAAGATGGAGAAGTTTCCTTGCATTGATTTCAAGGTTCCCTTTCTCAGTCTCAAGAATTTCCTTTGCAATATGCTTCCGTATATCACATGGCTCGTCCGCAGGGGTGAACACCAACCACAGTAGTTTGAAAGGGTATTGCCTGAGGGTACCTGTGACTCTTCTTTCAAACTGTGCTGCGTTGTGCAACAGCATCCTTGCTTTCAATGAAAGGAGAAACTGAAGGTCGTCTTTGTCAACGTCTGCCTGAATGGCCGTCCACAGGCCCGCATTTCCTGAGCAAAGGAGTCGGGAGTCACTCGCACCAAAACATTGCCCCCAGTCCATTCTCAAAAGTGATGATATTTGTGTGCGTGGTTCAGACTAACCAAGTATATAGATAGTGCTAGGCTAGTGATAGATGATTCCGCTAACCCTTAAGCGACCTTAACCTTAACCGTAACCCAAAACTTTGTGGCTGTCTTTTGTTTCATGCGGATAATGACACCCAAGGTTGTCCCAGCGTGTTTGACAAGATAATAGTTATGCACCATGCATGTACAGCACAAAAAAGAATCTCACTCCTATCACCCTATCAGATTGATTTGGACATATCATCGCAATTTACCTGACCATGCAAACAAAAGAAAGAAATACGCCCAACTGTCTGGAAAGTTGCTGGCAATCACATCAAATTCTGCTTGAATTTCAGATGCTTTGCCGTGCACCAACTGTGCCAGAATCCCAAATGTTGTACAGTCGTCTGACTCTGATGAGGAATTTGCTTTCAAGAAGCTTGTCAAATGGATGATAGGTTCTCTGGTGTGGTACATAGTCTCAATAGTTTTACCCCAGAGTCTGTCAGCTATTGCAACCAAAGTCTGACCTCTCCACTTTGACATTTGAATTGTGTACGCTTTTGTTTGCTCGACCGACAACACATCCGGAGTTGCTGATGTTTTGCCTGCGTCAATTTCTTTCTTCTGCTTCTGCTGCTTGTCCTTTGTACACCGAATGCAAGACTTAATCACAGATAATGCCTCCCATCCCTGGTCTGATGAAGAGCATGATTCCAATGGTGCAACCTCACTCATGTCAACAAATTTGCTTGTAAGAATCTCGGCCAAACACACAGCAAGATTGAGGAAGCCGGCACGCATGATCCTTGATTCCAATTCATGTACTCGACCCCAGCGCTGTGAAGCCGGTTTTGGAAATAAACTTTTCACACGAGATTTGGCATCCAGAGCGCCAAAACGTTTGACCCATGCGTCATACAATTTTTTTGCGACATCTCTGGAGGTATAGGCAAATGTTGCAAGGCTCTTCCAGTACTTCCACGGCCTTCCAAGCTCGGAAAGCATCTGATCTGCAAGAATCAATGATGCCATAACAATGAGATGTGGTCCATGTTCTAAACAATCAGAATCCAAAAAAAGAGTCCTCTTGTCATCCTTGACATCGCATAGGATTGCACGTCTACCCCATGCTTCATTGGAGCCCTGGTCAGTAGTACACATGTAGACGTGCAGAATGCGGTTTGTATTGTCGTGCCTTGTCGCTTGTGACAAAGCTGAACCCACAAAATGAAAAAAATCTTTACTTCGTGTGATCCCCACCATGACATTTATACATTTTGTTACTGGCAAATCTTCTGGCATTCTATCTGACATATCTTTTGGCATTCTATCTGGCATTCTATCTGGCATATCTTCTGGCATTCTATCTGGCATATCTTTTGGCATATTATCTACTCAAATCTTCTGGCATTCTATATGGCAAACATTCTGGCACTTTATCTGGCATATCTTCTGGCATTCTTTCTGACATTTTATCTGGCATTCTATCTGGCATACCTTCTGGCATTCTATCTGGCATATCTTCTAACATTCTATCTGGCATATCTCCTGGCACTCTATCTGGCATATGTTATGGCATTTTATCTGGCATATCTTCTTGCATTCTATCTGACATTCTATCTGGCATATCTTCTGGCATTCTATCTGGCTTTTGAGGTCCAGCGGTGTGCACTGAGCTCGGAAGGCCCCAGGTTGAGGTCCAGCGGTGCGCACTGAGCTCGGCAGGTCCCAGGTTGAGGTCCAGCGGTGCGCACTGAGCTAGGAAGGTCCCAGGTTGAGGTCCAGCGGTGCGCACTGAGCTGGGAAGGTCCCAAGGAAGTTGGCGAAGAGCTTGGCCAAGAGTTGGCAAGGCAACAGTGGACGTGGAAGTGGAGGCAGAGGTGGTACAAGAGGAGGAGGACGCGGAGGAGGAGAAGGAGGAGGAGGAAGGAGGAGAAGAACAACTCTGATAAAATCTAACAACCCTCACCTGGCAGGTGGGGAACAACATCTTCAAGGTGACACCGCCTTTTCCTCAACAACATCCCGGCTTTGAATGTTCGACTGACACCGGCACACACTTGTCAACATGTGGTGGCGGTCAAACAATAGTCACTCCGATGACTCTACTCTGTTGGTGAGCCGTGATGACATGATGAGGATCCAAAAGGCAACAGCATTCGGATGTCAACCCGGCTCTACACAAGACAGCAAAGACAGGTTAAATTCACACTCAACCTGTTCTTCGGGTGACATACGGCTATACAGGTGCTGTTCTCTTACATTGGGCTGCTATGCTACCAGTGCTACCCGTGGCGCCAAGTTACAATGGTAACATAAATCTACACTGGATGGAAAATGGGAGTAACAACAAAATGCTGCAACAAAACAAGCTTTATTTATAATCAATGCCAATCACCCACTCATTTCTGGATGTATTGGGTGATTTTCCGTCCACTCTTTGCGCATGAATGTAATCTGGATAATCTGAATGAATTTATGGTCTTGCTGTTTTTCAAAAACTGACAAACATATATCTGTAACAGAAGGCAAGGTGCATTTGTTCACGAACATCCCTCCAAGAGGGACACCCCAAAGATTGCATCGCTTGCAGAGTAGCACCCACACACCCAGCACCAGTTTCATCTCCAACTTGGATCAGGTCTGCCAATCGTTTGATGTGGTGGAATTGATTCCAAGAGATTGACCCTGAAGTCTCGGTGGCAATCAAGTAACAGCTTTCCATCTCAAGAGCACATAACTTTTTATGTCCATTTGTCGCATCCTGACGGTATGCATGCAACACGATTGCCCATGAAGCCTCTGTCATCTGCTTGAGGTTTGCCAGCATTTGTTGGTAAAAAAATTGCGCAGATGCTATAAGCCCAGCCCCTGCTCTCATTTCAGAACGAGCAACAGTTGAAGCTGAAATGTCGCTTGTCAATACTCGTCCAAAATCTTCACAGGAAACATTCGATGTATTGCGGCGTACCTAAAAAAATCCAAACATCTGCATACCGCTTCAAAAACGAAGCCCAGTTCCGGAAAGGTTGACTCCTAACAATTTTACAATAGACAAGCTTCAGTAAGATAACTCAAATCATGGGTCACCACACACTTGCTATTTTGCCACTTTATTTTATATATTTATATATGTTTATTACTGATTTTGGTGCTTATTCCCGGCTTTCGAATATTCAAAGGAATCGAGCCATTCCTCAATGCACAAAAGAAATTGGAATTAAGTGACCATGTTACCGACAAAAACGATAAACGAGGGCTAACCCACATTTTGTGGTGAATACTTACTTGAAAGAAGCTTCTGGGATATGTCACCCCAATTCCAAACAATCACAATCCACCCCGAAAAAACGTTCAAATAAACACCAACCAAAGGACTGCAGCATTCACGACCCCTTCTGGAGTAAGCCAAGACCAGCTCTTGGCTTTGTTTTTGGTCCCTACTTTGGACAATTTCGAGTCACTGCGGTGATGCAAGTCAAATGAATTTTTGGCTTGTATACGTTGGATTTCATTTTCATGTTGAGCCTGTTTCTGACCAAGTTTGACTGCCATGCGACGAAGCTGTTGTCGCAACATTTTTTTCTCTTCTGACAAGTGTTGGATTTTGTCATTTTTCTCTTGAAGCATCCGAAGCAACACATTTACATTTACATGTGGCAAGTGGCTCACGCCAGAGCCCTCTGAGTCAGTGCCCTGCTGGAGTGCCTTGCTGATATTTGAACGCAATCGTTTGTTTGATCTATCCGTTTTGGGCGCACCATGCAAATCAGAGACAAACAAGTGACTTCCAGAATCTTCTTGGGAACTTGAAACTGTCAGAGAATCCGTGCCCTGCATTGAGACTGGAATCGATTCAAGGAATTCGGTCCATTGTGGCATGGCAACTTGGAAGCCCGCATCAAACATCAGAACATACAACAGATTTGCATCAAACAACTTGGCACATTCTGAATCTAGCAGTGATGATTGTTCATCTTCCGTCGCCCCTTTGGGGACAATGAACTGACCACCAATTCTTGTAATATACTCAGAACATCTTGCACGTTGACTCAAAGATCCAAATGTCTTCAAAACATACCACAACTGCTTGAAGGCGGCGGTATCCACAGTACATCTGCCGTTCTCATCTCGCTTGATTGCAGATTGCACCGCTTTGACAAGAGAGGGTCCCAGAGATTCCATGGCCACAAGGCTCGTTGAAAGTAAAAGTGTCAATCTGATACCTTTGAAACATAGCTAGTTGATGTAATGCAATTTGGCATGAAGGCAAATTGCAATGACCTTTCCTCGTTGGACATGCTTAATCGCTAGCCTAACTTCAAACGTTTGTGAAGCATACCATCCTGTTTACTTGTACTTATGGGGAATAAGTTTGCGCATGAACATGCGCAAATCACAAAGCAGAATGATCATTCGAAAGTCCGTCAGTGGTAGATATGGAAACATCATAGGTGTCATTTACAAAATCAACTTTCCAGTGTGTTGGAAAATTGGTGAGTTGATCTTGCAAACTCGAAGATACCAAAGCCCTTGCGCTGGCCATGACAAACTTCATGCGGCGAATGCATTCTGTTGAGACTTTGCACCCACATGCGAACATCAGATTTAACTTCTGAAATCAGCGTTCTCGAGGCAACAAAATATCGCTTCATATGTGAAAATGTTTCCTCACCACACTGCTCGCGTTTGAAACACTTACTTGTTGCTTCCTCCGCTTCCTCAAACATAGAGGAGATGCAGTCATAAATTTGATTTTCTTGGGATAATGATATCAGAAATTGTATCTGATACGCTGTCGCAACATGTTTTTTCCCTAAATCAACATCGCGCAACAAAAACAAAAACGTTCACACATATAAATATATAGTATCATTCATCCTCATAAGATATCATTTTATTTGCTTGTCTGATGAGTAAGTCGCATACTGATAGCAGCAGGTAGCGACAACTCACCGATCACGCTGGCATCGACATATAACCAGAAATGAATGTCATGAAACGAACGAACGAACGAACGAACGAACGAACGGACGGACGGACGGACGGACGAACGAACGAACGAACGAACGAACGAACGAATGGGTGAGTGCGTGCGTGCGTGCGTGCGTGCGTGCGTGCGTGCGTGCATGCGTGGTGCGTGCGTGCGTGCGTGCGTGCGTGCGTGCGTGCGTGCGTGCGTGCGTGCGTGCGTGAGTGAGTGAGTGAGTGAGTGAGTGAGTGAGTGACCGAGCGAGCGAGCAAGTGAGTGAATGCGTTCATGCGTGCATGCGTGAGTGGGTGGGCGGGTGGGAAGGTGAGTGACGGAGTGGCCGAGTGAATCAAGAAGTTAATGGTTCAAGGAATCAATGAATCATATGGTCATTGAATCAATGAATGAATCAGTGAATGTATCAACGAGTGAAACAATTAATGAATCAATCAAGGAATCAATCAAGGAATCAGTCAATGAAACAACCAATGAGCCGATGTGTGAATCAATGAAAGAACGAAGGAATGAACATATGAATGGATGAGTGGATGAATGAACTCCTTCTTTATTGGGCTACTCCTTCGCTGGGCCACCTCTTCTGCTCTGAGATGCCTCCCTCTGTCCGCTACCTCTTCTGTAGCCTCTGCGGCCCACTTGTTCTCGTCGCAGCCAGCACATTGCGTTTTGCAACCTCCGGCTGCGACCCCGCAAAGCACGAGAGCGGCACCATCCTCAAGAACTGCCTTTGTCGCAGCTGTTACATTGCGTTTACCTATCTCCAACTGCAGTCGTCCTACGGCAGGAGCGCCTCAGCATCACTAACGCTTTCCTGCGCGCAGCAGAGCTAATGCGTTTTGTCGTTCCCGCATTCCACGGCACGGACACGCACTCATTCTACACCATCGGACCTAAATCGCTAGAGCGCAATCCTGCGCTGCCATGGTTCAATTGTTGGTGAAATCGGGCTCGCTCCAGTCTCGTGCGCATTTTTCCGGCCTCATCTTTCGAATGTGTCCGAACGCCTTTTTTTTACATTGAACAGTCTCGCGCGCTTTTTTGC